ATAGACAGTGACTGATTTAGAAAAAAATAAAGTACTACTGCAGTTTAAAGAAACATATGACCATACACAGTTTGCTGATGGAACATAACCTATCAAGTGGCTTAAATGAGCAGATAGATAGGACATATGACATATTTTTTTGTGGATCAAACATTTATTTTTTAAAGTGATGCAGACAGATAGTGAACTCACCAGCTTAGATATTGCACAGTAGATAAGAAGGGGACATAACTTACTCCATTATGTTATCCCTTGGAATCCCCGTCCAAGGGGATTTTCCCCTGCAGCTGTGAAAATGTGGCTACCTTTTTCACTATACTGTTGCAGCATTTTTAGTGCTCATCAGCTGGTATGGAGGGTGACTTCTCAGCAGTAAGGCCAGGGGACTTTGCTTCAATGGATTTTGATCTACATATATTTCTAAGACGTGCTTCAGCCCTGTTTGTCAAATACAGGCTTTAAGAATGCTAAACAATTGTTCAGGTCGTGGATCACAGCAAATATTGGTGTCTCTACTGGGCCGTAAACGCTTTATTCTCTCCCTCACCTTCTCCATCACCTCTCCTCTCTCACATGAGCTAAGTTCCAGGTCCACAGGTATTTTCGCAGCATCTTGAGGACTGATGCAGTAAGAACGTTGAATAGAACAGATTTGGGATAAATTTCCAGTTTGGATAAAATGTGTTGTGCGCAGAAATCCAATGAGAATATGATCCCGCTCTGCCCAGAAAAACGTTCGCTAGTAATAGTGTGTTACGTAAACTGCAATGTAGTCTAAAACTCTTTTCTGAGAATGTTTGAGTGATTTTTATGACGCACCGATATTTGACATATACATTTCTGAATATAAGAGGAAAAAGAAAATGGCAGGAAATTTTCCATTTTACTGGTTAAAATTTTAAATTCTATCCACTTTTTCAAAAAATGTCAAACCGAAATGCCTACCAACATATTTTAGTCATGTGTCAGTATTTATATAAAATGTTTCAAATCAAAATAATTTTAAACTTTTACTCAAAGTTTATATGCCTAAATTTATTATTTTTGACATATATTAAAAGAAAGGAAGACGTTTTTAGTGTAGGGGTGCTAGAACACTGGAATAAGTTGTCTAGAGAATCAAGTACATTGTGGTTTATTTCTTGGTGTTTTCTCATGCCAAACATTTAACTACTGACGAAGTCCCTTTTGTCTTTCTTGAATACAGCTAGGATTACGGTTGTGTCATTGTTGACAAACTCTTATTCTCAGAGCTGTCCAGCTGAAAGTCCTAGATGAACTGATATACCATGTCACTTTAACACGGCATGAATTCAAACTCTTACCGTTTCAGCACCTAAAGTTGTCCAGCCCTAAAATTCTTTACGCATTCCTTGTCAGCTGGCATTTTTAATATATGAAGCTATGAAGAATTTGCACTACGGGATGATGACAAATGAGTCACGCTGGTAGATTAACGAACACATGCAAAGAAGAGAGGGGGGAATGAGAGCACAAAAAGAGAGTACACAAGTACAACGTACTTTTTCCTGGAACAGGCCTAACACCGTAGAAATCAAAATTAACACAAATCCTCCAAGGGGTTGTTCTTGCAAAAGAAAAAGACTTACTTTTGTATTTACAAGCCTGGAATATGTAGCTTTGGATCACAGTAAAATGCCAATGACAAAACGAGGCCAATAAGTTAAATAGAGTATGAAGCAGTGTAAAAGAGGAAAGCAGTGGAGAACATCAACCCTGCTCTGCTAATTAGTCTCTTTGTTCTTCTTGGCATTAGCAGAAATTTGAAATGAATCTCTGAAAATTACAAAGGAGGTAGAAGAAAATGAAGCGATGACTCCTCTGGCATAGTATTGCCTATAAGTGGTCTTCAAAATGTAAAGATTGTTTCATCCTTTCAATTGAAGGAAGGTGTTAAAACAACAGGAAGAAAATAGCTTCAAATTCTAGAAAAACTCGGGTCAGTGTACTTCTAGACAAAAAGGACACTGATGGAAAACCGACTAAACTGGCACCAATGCAAGAGCTTATACTAAACCCCAGAAATTTCCACTACTTCACTCTTTGCCATTACGGCAGTATGAACACAGCAACTCTGAAACTGATCATCTCCTTAACAAATTTGGAGTGAGGGTGTCTAGTGACGCAGAGTCTCCAGGCAAGAGCAAAGAAGAGATACTTTATTGTAAAAACCAGGCTTTTGAAGCACTCAGTTCTTTATCAGTTACATAGCTTTAAGCCATAACACAAATCATTCCAACCACCACTGTATACGACGCTCTGAACACGCTATGGTTCTAGAACCTGTAGATCTCCCTGTAATTCGCCTGTCTTACCTTTCCGTAGTCCTTTTCTACTTAACCAAAGTAACAGGCCTCAGCTCAGGGCCTTCCTTTTGCAAGCTTTTACTTTTATGCAGCAGCAAAATAATAGTTTCTTCAATGCCAGGATTTTGGGTAGACGAGTTACATCTGCTCCTCCAGGGAAACATAATGCAGAAAGAAAATCCTTTCGGAGGTGTTGTCATTCTATTTTCTAGACAGGCCAAATAAAAAGAAAAGCAAGATATAGGATTGTGTACGTGCTCTTATAAAACAGCTGCTGCAATGTTACAATGAACTAGCAGAAAATCAGCAAAAACTAAAGTGGAGGAAAACAACCTCCTTTTGAAGGAAATAAATGACGTGTTAAATAAAGACAACACTTTTCCAGGCTATCGTGATACTTGAAATGTCAGAAAAAGATAAAAGCAGAGGGTGAACTAATGGGGAAAGGTTAAAAGAAGCCAAGAAAAACAGGACTAAATATTAAGACTCCCAAAAAAAACCATGGGTAACTTACCTGTTGAAGCATTCAGGAAATCTGTGGCCGCTGATTTAGAAAATCCATTCAGGTTCATTTAGCCGTGCAACTTCCACTTTTTTTCACCTGTCAGCATCACAGGGTGAATTGTTGCCATGGAATCACCATTCTTTGGGTTCTGTTCTTACCTTTAGGAGAGAAGTAGAGCAGCTGAGGTACCTGTTACTGATGTGATAGCCAGGAATCAAGAGTGACACAATTCATTCACGTCCGATCACAACTATCAATAGTAAGAAGATAAGATTGGTCTCTTTTAATGACTCTTTCTTCATGGCGACTGCTCTAATTCTCGTGAATTTATTACCTTCTCTCTAAGAAGAGAAAGTCCAATTCATTTTCCCCTCCTTATTGGTGCAGGGTTACCTTTTGTTTTGTCGAGGCGAAAAATGTAATTGAAACTAGCCGTAATTATTGTGTTTAAAGCATCCTGGCCTTTCAGAAAATCTCAGGATGATAAAAGCCTTAAATGATATTGGCTAAATAATCTGCTTTTACCAAGAGCCAATTTAATCTACCTTTTGTAACAAACTCCAGTAATACAAAATCCAATCATACAAAAGAGTCACAAATAAGCAGAAAGAATTATTGGACCATTTATGGTAAAAATCATCTGGCCTTCTTTGGGAGTGAGAATAATCAGCTGAAGTAGCAAAGTTGAAGACAAAAATCTCCTAGCACTGAGAAGTTGCTGACAAGGGAACAACCTAAGCTCTGTGACTTTTCTCCTTCCATTCATTGGTCAAGCCTAATAGCCTAAAATTACGGGTCAATTAAATACAAATGTTAATCTAGCCAGAGGCCTATGAAAAGTCAAAAAAAATAGAAGATCTTCGTAGACAATGGAAATGGAAACACAGGTAAAAATCTATTTTTTTGAAACTCATTCCCTTCTAGTCATAACTAAATGTATAGACACCAGTACAATCAGGAAAAGATATAATTTACCGATCTTCTTGCACCAGCCAGTCCCTTTCCACCGTATTTTTTTCTAAGAGGTTCAGAAGTTTCATAATGTATGGAATAAAAGAAAGCACTACAATAGTGACTACTAGCAATAACAAAGCTCCCTTTACGAGATCTTTTAACAATCCAATTCTTTTCTGTCACTCAACCATTCATGCATACCACACTTATTTCCGAAAAATTTCTTTATGTTATTTGTCGCTATTTGAGTTTCCTCTGAATGATTCCAGAATGATCAGAGCTGTTCATAAAACACCGGTCTGATCAACAATCCTTCAAAAGTCTCGCACACGTGCCCTTATATTATCAAAAACTAATCGATAGAAGAGCTATTTTGCAGTGTGCCATGTTTCATGGTATCTACGTCCCTGAAAATCTGTTTTAAACTAGCCGACCTTACTTTTAGTTGCTTGACCATCCAGCATCCTAACTTATTAAAGGTAGTCAAAGCTTGATCAGCAACGACACGAGCCGTAAGGAATGGCAATCATTATCCGGCTGGAGTAGTCATGTCTTAACCTTGTCCTTCGTCTTTCAGTTCCCCAGGGTCGAAAAAGCAGCTGCTTTGCGCACAGAACATTGTGTCTGTCGCGTTGCAATCTAGGAGGGCGGCTGCTGCCGAAAGACACCCGGGACCAGCGCTTAGATTCGGAGAACTCCTTATCTCCGTCTTTAGCGTCTCTTCTCGCCTACATTTTATCAAAAAGATTTTCTATTATATCTCGCGAGAAACTGTGCGAGGATAAAACATCTCCTGATCTTGTTCTAGACGTTGTACGGAGTGCTGCATAATATTTAAGAAGAGGCAAAAGAAAATTGTCCAAAACGCCTTCCTTTCCAATATTGATATTAATGGAAAAGACAGGAGAGTGGTAAAGGGAGAACTTGCACATCCTTCTTACGCTTCTTACTGGTCCTCTTGTAGCTCTCTAAAGTTAATTTTATGCTTCTGTTTGGGCTGCGAGACGCAAAGATCTCTATTAACTTCTTGAACAAGTTCCGGGGACGTTTGCTATGCTGGCAAAGTTTCTCCTTGCGAGCAGTAGTGGAAAAGATTTTGGCTACGACACAAGTGACACGAGACCCAGAATAGGAAGATCCGGCGTCTTCCGAAGGTAAGATCCGGTCCAGCGCGTCTTTCGGCAGAAGCCGCCCTTGGGAGCGCACCCCGACCGGCTCAATGTTCTTATGAGCGAAGCCGCGTCATCGCCTCCGGGAGACAGAGATTGCGGCAGCCTCCAAAAGGTGAAGAATGCAGCCCCACAATACCGGCATGGTGTGCACGGCATTAAAAATGCTAGTGGACGCAGGTTTTTCACTCCCCTGCTCTTCGATCCTCACTAGCCTTCGTTAGAGAGGAATTTTCACATGCTACTTTTACTCTTCCTGCAGTCTTTTGTGGAAAATCGTACCCTGTCCTTTAGGCTCTGAGATGCAAAGAAGTCGATGGCAGAGGTAAGAGTGATAGGCACCACTGAGGTTTTCGAGAAGCAAGAATATACGGAGTTATCTGTGTTTGGGAATGAGCAGCTGCTGCAATTTTGCAATTTCCTTCAGTGCGCACAAAAGCCCCGTGCTCAGCTGCATCATTCTTTGTTTTCTGTGATTTTCACAAAATTGATGCTGAGCGAGACTGAGCCTTGCCGCTTTGCAGCGTCTGTGGTGCACGTATGCATCTTACTAGTGTTCAAGACCTTTTGCCTTTCCGAATGTTTATGGTGTCTACTGGTATAAAACTGCAGGGACCGGGCAGAGATGGCGGTGATGGGAGCAGAGTTTGCAGGGTGGCCTAAGAAGGAGTGCTTTTTAAATTTACAGAAAATACATATTGCAGTTGAAAGGTGGGGAAAGACTGCTTTACTGGCATAGTTTCTCTTTGCTGTACATAGTGGAAATGATTTTCATCAGGATAAAAATACAAGAGTTTTAAAAACGGGGGTCTGGAATTCTCTGTTGGTAAGTACCACTGCTGAAAGTGTTTTGGCAGAAGCAGCACACTGGGGAGCACAGCTACTCCCACAGAAATCTGTGCGCGAAGGAGCCGCATCTTAGCATCTGGCAGATTGAAAACACGTCAGCTTCTCATAGGCGAAGAAAGAAGGGTGAAAGCAGCGGGCTTATGTGCGCATAGTTTTTAGACTGCTAGAGGACGGTGGCTTGCCCCTCACCAGCCTGATAAATTTTCCTTAGCGTTCTTATGGAAAATGTTCCTGGACAACTTCCCTGTAGTTCTAGCTAGTCCTCCTGCAGCCCTTGGTGGAAATTCTTGCATTTCCATTTAAGCTTCGAGATGCAGAGGAGTCGATGGTAGAGGCAACACAGAAAGGCATCGCTGAGATTTCAAGAAGCAAGATTCTATGCAGCTGCCTGTGCTTGGGAATGAGCAGCTGCTGGATTTTTGCAATTTCTTTCAGTGTGTTTAGAAACCCAATGCTGTACTACATCAAGCTTTGCCTTCCGTGATTTGCACAGAACAGAAAATATACCAGATTATTAATCTTTGCTGCTTTTCAGCATCCAAGCTAGACGTATGCATTGCATCATCGTTCAGGATCTTTTGCCTTTGCGAGGCAATATTGTTCCCACTGATAAGAGTAGTTGGGGGGAATTGGGGAGAGAGCGTGGTGATCTGACACCAGTTTGCAGGTAAACTAAGAAAGAAGAATGATCTGTGATTGCACAGCAAATACAAGTTTCAGTGACAAACTCGGGTAAGGGTCCTCTGCTGGCGCAGTTTCTCCTAACAAGTAATAGTGGAAAAATTTTTCGTCCAGATGCAAGACCACAAAAATAAAGAGAGAGGACAGCACTCCTAACAGAAGAAGAACGAAGGCGCAAATCCGTTGGATTGTGCGCGCACAGATTTCAGACTGCTGAAGGACAGTGTCTTGCCACTCGCCTGCCTCTTAAATTAACTAAGCATTCGTATGGGAAGTGTTCCTAGGCAACTTCGTTGTGCTTTTACATAAATCTCTTGCAGTCTTCTCTGGAAATTCTTGCACTTCTTATTATGCTCCGAAATAGGTCGATGGCAGCTGCAGAAAAGAAGGACACTGCTGAGTTTTTCAAGATGCAAGAGTGTACACAGCTGCCTGTTCTTCAGGATGAGCAGCTGCTGGATTTTTGCAATTTCCTTTTGCGCACAAAAAAGCCTGGGTTCTTTGCAGCATCATTCTTCATTTTCGTGTGATTGGCACAGGATTGAAGTAGAGCGATTATATTTAGTTATGCTGCCTTTCTGCGTTTGTGCTACACGTATGCACTGCTTCATCCTTTAGGATTTTAACCTTTGCTAAGGTATAATGTTAGTGCTTGTTCTTTGAGTTGAGAAGGAGAGGGCAAATAGCTCTGCAATCTCACAGCAGTTTTCACCCTGTACCGGAAAGAGGACTGCCCCTCGGATATATTTTTCAAATACAAATTTCAGGCTGAGGCAAATACTGCGCAGGTAAGTACTGGTCAGGCTTGTTTTCTTGGCACTATTTCTAATTGCATTAATTGGTCTGAAAGATTTTCGCTAAGATGAAAACCACGAGAGACGAAGAAAGCGGGGCTATGTAAAGCTGGGAATGTAAGGGCTTGGCCCGAGCGTTCCTTGGAAGAAGGAGTGCGCCAGAATTTTTTGCTGCCGTCATAGTGGTCTGTGCGAGAAGTAGACATGTATTCGCCTCCAGGACCTAAATTCGTACCAAATTCCCGGCAACAAAAATTAAGCCGTAGAGCACTGGCCTTATGTGCAGCCTTCAGACTGCTTGAAGAGGGTGTCTGCCACTCAACCTGCCTGTTAAATGCACGTTAACAATCCTGTGAAATGAGGTAAAAGACAAGATTTTTGTGTTTAACCTTTTCCTTTTTTAGCTCTCGGCGGAAGCTTTGGGTCTCCTCTTTATGCTTAGAAAAGAATCATATAGAGCGCAAGGGTAATTTTGATGTTGCTTTTGTGGCGCAAGGCAAAAATTCAGCCCATGATTCGGTCTTACTTTCAGAGATTTTTGCTAAGGGAAGAGCTGCGAAAAGTTGCCAAGAGAGTTTTGAGACTGAATATTTGGAACGCATGTCTATCTGCGAAGAAAAGTGTCAAGCATCAGAATGTTTTGCTCTCATCCAAAAAAAGTTTAAATTTGCCTTTTGCTATGAAGTTAGATACCTTGTTGCTCGATTCTTGCAATTTTGTACGGTGTGCACAAAATCCATTTGTTCTGCTCCTTCATTTTACGCCTTCTGTGAAATGCACACTGCTGAAGGGCAGCTGAGGCATTCAGCTATGCTGATTTTCAGCGTCATTACCACACACCCGAATTGTTGATTTATCACTCGGAATTTTTTGTCATTGCGGGGTTGTAATATGCGCGCCTGGCTTTTTCATCTTAGCAGGACAGTACCAGGAGCACCATTATATTAAGGTTCTTTGCATGTTTTATAGGAGAGATTTCCCCTTGAATTTGGTGCAAATACAAAGTTCCCTAGTCTATGGAGACAAACTCCAGGCAATTGTGTTTTCGTGACGCATTTCTTCTAAATTTGCTAGATGTAGTCGAAATAGTTACCATCTAGATTTAGAAGAAATTGAGAGACAGATTGTGGACATCGGCAGGGCTTAAATGGTTGGTGCATTTTCTAGGCATCTTTTAGCCAGGAAACGCCCTGGAGCGCTTGCAGCGACACTGCTCTCTGCAACTGCAGTGTTTTCCCATCATTATATCTCAATCTCTAATAACGATTTCAAATCCTTATTTCTTCCTCAACATTCCTCAGATAAAGCATTAAAAGTATTGTATCTCTTAAAGTACGAACTAAGAAGCCAATGCTATTTCCATTACATTTTTTTGGCACGATCACATGTGATTGCTGTCAGACATAAAATATCACAGCATTAGAACCACAATCAATATTCTTTAATTAGCACATAGACTTAATTGTGCACAATAGTTGCAAAATATATTTATACGCATTAATTGGTACTGTAGGCTATCACTATTCGTGATAACGCCTTGTGTACTTCACTGCACAAAAAAATGGTATACAAAACCATAAAAATGGCATACAAAACCAAAAAAAAAAATTTTCTGTCCACAAGAGAGGGGAATATGGGAAATGGATCTCTAAAGAGCTTTTAAGTAAAGTTTTTCGTACTTTTTAATGGACTGGTTAGTTACAAAGTACTAAACTCTTCCTTTAACGTTTAACTTTATTAATTTTGATAACTTTCCTCCCTGATTTTTCTTTGTTTAAGTCTGTGTTTTTGGGGGGCAGGGAAATTCTTAAGGTTGCTGACGAGTTACCTCCAGGAGAATGAAGGTGATAACTTCCAAGAGGCAAAGAACGAAGCCACAGAACACCAGGCTATGAATGCCGCTTACCGGCTTTAAAAGGAGTGTGGCTATCACTGGCCTACCAACCAAAATCACTGTGGCAGTAGAAAGGATTGAAATTCAGAAAATCTGCTTGTACTGATACCTCTGCCTCTTCCTGTAGGAATGAGCACCGTGTTTACCTAGTGACCAAAGTATCCTTTGTGGCCTACAAAAGGAAAAAAGCTCAGAAGATTCTTTCCTCGATTAACAAAGACACCTCATAGGACCTGAGGGACTTTACCTCAAACGTAACGAAAGCCAATTTGGACACGAACCAAAAAGTCCTAACAAAGCAATTCACTAGAAAAAGAATGGAAGAAAGGAATTTATTGCTTTTGTGAAGTGTCTTACCAGAAGCATCAAAGTTTTGCACTTGGCTCGGGTTATCTCTGTAAAGAGATTTGTTATTTTGTCTCTTATTAAAACGTCTGTTTCCAAAACTACCACAGAATACATCCTGCTGATTTTATTGCAAGGTGACTGAGCTATATTGGGTGGTATATTTCTCTGAAGGCTCATAAGACCTGGCTTGAGGAGACTCATATATCATCTTCCAACCGCTATATGGATGGAACTGTCCCTACTTTCGGGCTCTGGATCCAAGGAACACAATGGTAGGTGCAGCCGTGAAGGGCAAGACGGAGTGCACCAGTGAGCGTGAAAAGGCGTACGTGGGGTACATGGAAAGTGCAGCCCTCCACTGGTTTTTACTTCCAAAGCCCTTTTCTCTTAGAGTAGTTGCTGGAAGTTTGGAACGAAAATGTGAGAATGCAAAAATAACGGCAGGTCTATCTTGGAAAGAGGATATTGAGCAGTGTGTTAAATTTAAAAGCTGTTAGGAATAGAAGGTACTTTAAGAATAACTTCTTTCTTGACACTTCTCTCTGTATGCTCTAGTTGCTTGAACATGGTGATAATGAAAGTGTATGAAAATATTTGCACTACTAATGTCAGATTTCACAGGGAAGAGGGTATGGCTGCAAATATCTTCTGTCCTGCCATATCTATCAATCACAACTGCAGCTGGAAATGTTTTGCTGTAACCACAACTCTTCCACTTTTAAAAAATTGGCTGATTCTATACATGTAGTTGAGAAGAAAAGTGTGAATACCTAGTGTGTTTCAGTTAGTTGACAGACTTCAAAGATACTATTATGGCCAGCAGTGGCTTTTTGTTTTAGGACTTTTTCTATGTGAGTAGCTGCGGGATGTTTTGAAAAGGTTTGGAATGTGCAAGATGCCATATAGATCTTCAGGGAAAGTGCTTATGTCCAGGGAGCTGGATGCAGTTCACGGGGTGTGAGGAATATGTTGAGCAACTGATGCTCAGAAAATGTTCTAAAGGGAAAAGGCCAGGCTGCAATTGCCTTTTCTTTGCACCCTATGAACTGCATAGCAAACAATGAAATGCTTCTTTTTCCTGCTCCATTACATACCACGATTACCTTCGGTAAGTGCCCAAAGGCCAGGATCTACAGAGTAGCTTTTGACCACACTGTTCCCACACAAATGAGCATAGGCAAGAAAAGGGCTTGACTTTTTCCTGGGCACTGTAAAAGCTCATAGAAATAAAACCAGGACACACACCGAGCCCAGCTCAAAACCACCCCCAGGACGCAGCAAAGTCGGGAACTCCCCTGCTCTCTAATCAACTGTCAGGACAAAAGGCTTCTCTGATCTGCCCCTTCCAAGTGCTTACTCTTCTTCGCACCACACTCAGACAGCAAGACCAACTCCTCTGCCTTAACAAACCTTTTTCACTCTCCTAGAGGCTGGTAACAAAAACATTTGCCAAAAACACACCTGGCAAAATTGTCCGTGGAGAAAGCTCTTTGCTACCTACAATTTAAACTGCCCCCAGCAAACACCCTTCTATTGCCACTTTTCTTCTCAGCTCTAGATACCATCATAAGCCTTCAATGTCACAAAGTCAGGATCCAAATGGAATGGCACAAGAGAATGTTCATGCACTAACGCTAAAGGCTAAAAACTCCACCTCTTGGCCTTTGTATTCCCACTGACAGTTCAACAACTCTAACTCAGAGAACTGACTATTGGGAAAAGCCTTTCAATTCACGTTGACCACCTAAAGTGCCCTCCAGACTTGCTTTCTTTGCCAGAGAGGAGCTTGAAGCCCATCTTAAATGACATCGCATTCTCCAAAATCCAAAATATCCGCGGCCTTATGCCATAATAAGTAGTGAGAACACTGGTACTGGGCATTACCTGCCCGGTGCATGATGTCAGCTGTACACTGAGGCTCAGTGTATCTGCTTACCTTGTCCAAAAGAGTAGTTTGAAAACAAAACCATTGAGAAATGCTAAGGCGGAAATTCAATTTTTTTAAGAAAAGGGAAAAACCTGAAAATATATGGAATAATACAAAAGAAAAACCACTGGCCGATGTCAGAATACAACCTGACTGCCTGCTAGTTAATGTGGTGGTAGCAGTCCAGATGAAATGGTCTTGTCGAAGTGGTGATCCCATAGAAAAATCTGGTGTCTCAGTCTCTCTGCGAGCCTCTCAAAACCCCTGGCCAGTCCCGAGTCGGCAGACACCGGGGGGTTCAGCCCCGACACGGCCGACAGCGGGGAGACACTCTCTGTGCCCCGAGGGTACTGAGGGCACTTGGGCTGGGCGCCTTTGCAGCAGGAGAGACACCAGAGACATCGGTAGAAGAGAAAGGGCCGACTCTCAGCAGGGGTTAATCCAAGGTTTTATTAGGATCACAAAGGAGCTCCTGCACCTCAGGGGGCTTCCTGCCGAGAGCCCGGGGGGGGGGGGGATGTCCCAAGGTTACATTTAAAGGGAGGTGGAAACTAAAAGTAGGTAACATTTTACCAACCAATAGGTATCTCTGGGGGATGGGTGCTGGGGGATAGACATACAAAACAACATATGGGGCAGGGCTTGGGGGGCTGACCCCTGGCCTCTGGCTAATCACTCGACGACTTGGACGGAAACTTCTGGATGGGGGGGATGGGATGCTGAGTGATTGACAGAGAGCCAGGGTGGGGGTTTAGGCATGATCTCATCCTGGGAGAGGAATTACACAGGTAAAGGGAGGGGGGTACAGTCTGGGATTAACCATTTGGGAAGAATATGGGAATACAAAACAAAACTACTTCAAAGTATTACAAAATATAAAAACGCACTACAACAAGCTGGTAGCACTTGTTCTCTGGAAACCAGTGGGTAAGTGCAGCTTTTTCCATCCCAAAGCCCAGATTATATCGAGGTGGTGATTCTTAGCTCCTCCGCCACTGGGCGGACCATCTCACAATTGCCTGGTATCGTTATATGAGTAATGCGATGTGTCAATTAAACAGAAATGGCTCCTAGATGGAGTTATCTCCGGGTCATGTCACAAGGCATTCATGGTCCCATTAACACGCGATAAGGAACAACATTACCTGTCCTAGTTTCAACCATCTCTTGAGGATGGGAATAGAATACATCTTTAAACTCTAACCCAAGACAAAGGGGAAGGCAAGAAAAATGGGAAGCAAGGCAATGAGAATCCCAGAAAGAGAAGGAAATGAAGGATTTGAGCTAGACAAATGGGAAGGGGAAAAAGAATAGGTAAGCGAGTCAGTGAAAGGCACTGGATTGGTAAGAAGGGCAAGGGAAATACATACATGGGTCAGGAAGGCAAAGGAAAGGAATGGTCAGGAATTAAATGGAAATGCAAGATGGGGTAGGAGAGGGACGTCAATGCAGGGGAGGGATAGGCAACAAAATGGGTGTCGTAAAGGAAATGTCCATTGATGGCAAAGCCAGGAAAACAGTGGTAGAGGAGTCAAAGTAGAAGAAAAATGAGTGCAGCTGAAGAAGGAAGGTTCAGGGAAGGTTCAGGGAAGGTTCAGGGAAGGGAAGGTTCAGGGAAGGTTCAGGGAAGGTTCAGGGAAGGTTCAGGGAAGGGAAGGTTCAGGGAAGGTTCAGGGAAGGTTCAGGGAAGGGAAGGTTCAGGGAAGGAAAGGTTCAGGGAAGGGAAGGGAAGGGAAGGTTCAGGGAAGGTTCAGGGAAGGGAAGGTTCAGGGAAGGTTCAGGGAAGGTTCAGGGAAGGGAAGGTTCAGGGAAGGGAAGGTTCAGGGAAGGTTCAGGGAAGGTTCAGGGAAGGGAAGGTTCAGGGAAGGGAAGGTTCAGGGAAGGTTCAGGGAAGGTTCAGGGAAGGTTCAGGGAAGGGAAAGGAAGGGAAGGGAAGGGAAGGGAAGGGAAAGGAAAGGAAGGGAAGGTTCAGGGAAGGTTCAGGGAAGGGAAGGTTCAGGGAAGGTTCAGGGAAGGTTCAGGGAAGGTTGAGGGAAGGTTCAGGGAAGGTTCAGGGAAGGGAAGGTTCAGGGAAGGTTCAGGGAAGGTTCAGGGAAGGGAAGGGAAGGGAAGGTTCAGGAAAGGAAAGGAAGGGAAGGTTCAGGGAAGGTTCAGGGAAGGGAAGGTTCAGGGAAGGTTCAGGGAAGGTTCAGGGAAGGTTCAGGGAAGGGAAGGTTCAGGGAAGGGAAGGGAAGGTTCAGGGAAGGGAAGGTTCAGGGAAGGGAAGGTTCAGGGAAGGTTCAGGGAAGGTTCAGGGAAGGGAAGGTTCAGGGAAGGGAAGGTTCAGGGAAGGTTCAGGGAAGGCTCAGGGAAGGTTCAGGGAAGGTTCAGGGAAGGGAAGGTTCAGGGAAGGGAAGGGAAGGTTCAGGGAAGGTTCAGGGAAGGTTCAGGGAAGGTTCAGGGAAGGTTCAGGGAAGGGAAGGTTCAGGGAAGGGAAGGTTCAGGGAAGGTTCAGGGAAGGGAAGGTTCAGGGAAGGGAAGGTTCAGGGAAGGTTCAGGGAAGGTTCAGGGAAGGTTCAGGGAAGGTTCAGGGAAGGGAAGGTTCAGGGAAGGTTCAGGGAAGGTTCAGGGAAGGGAAGGTTCAGGGAAGGTTCAGGGAAGGTTCAGGGAAGGTTCAGGGAAGGGAAGGTTCAGGGAAGGGAAGGGAAGGGAAGGGAAGGGAAGGGAAGGGAAGGTTCAGGGAAGGTTCAGGGAAGGTTCAGGGAAGGGAAGGTTCAGGGAAGGGAAGGTTCGGTTCAGGGAAGGGAAGGGTCAGGGAAGGGAAGGTTCAGGGAAGGTTCAGGGAAGGTTCAGGGAAGGTTCAGGGAAGGTTCAGGGAAGGTTCAGGGAAGGTTCAGGGAAGGTTCAGGGAAGGGAAGGTTCAGGGAAGGGAAGGTTCAGGGAAGGGAAGGTTCAGGGAAGGGAAGGTTCAGGGAAGGTTCAGGGAAGGGAAGGGAAGGGAAGGGAAGGGAAGGGAAGGGAAGGGAAGGGAAGGGAAGGGAAGGGAAGGTTCAGGGAAGGTTCAGGGAAGGTTCAGGGAAGGAAAGGGAAGGGAAGGGAAGGGAAGGGAAGGGAAGGGAAGGGAAGGGAAGGGAAGGGAAGGGAAGGGAAGGGAAGGGAAGGGAAGGTTCAGGGAAGGGAAGGTTCAGGGAAGGT